AAAATCTTTCAGTTATAATTTCTTGTAACCTTGATTCTTATAAAGAAAATAAGCTTTTTCAGGTTTTGAAGAAACATAAGAAGAGACTTGGATGGAGCTCGATTAAAGAGAGAAGAAAAGCAGTGAGACAACTCTTTAATCCTTTGTTATCTGATGTTGATGTTGTGGAAAAGGATATCACATTTACGTGCCCATTCGACACTTTTATTTATCGAAGATTCTTATTTGATCCTGGAATAAAAGGCGAAGGCACTAATACAAATTTCAAGGGCGATGGATGTTATCCAAAGTTATTCCCCACTTTGGAAGAGGAGACTGCAGAAAATCTCTCTTTGGGAAAGGATGCATATGTGATCACTTATCCACCTTGACTCCTCGGGTGTGTCCTTTCCTATCTCTCCTCGCTTTTATTTTATATTTCTGTTCTTTCATTGAGGACAATGTATGTTTTAAGTGTGGGGGAGAGAATAATTTCTTTGTTTCGTTTGTTTTCCTTGTTTTTGTTAGTGTTTTGTTTGTTTTCAGTCAAATAAAAAAATGTATCTTCTTGAAAGTTTGAGGCTATAGTCTAATTTGAGATTAGTTTACGGAGACCTGGGAAAAATTCATAAGATCGGTATCGTCTTAACACCGTAAGTCTCCTGCATATGGAAATTGATTTGAATTTTTATTATGTTTTAGCCTTAAATTTTCATTCTCTGACAGCTCTTGAGTAGTTTATTTCAGCAGTCAGCACCATCTCATACACACTCTACGTAGGGAAGCCGATGAATATAAGTGAGTGATCAAAAAGAAAAAAAAAGGGAAAAAGTTGAAAGAAAAAAAAAGGGAAAAAGTTGAAAGAAAAAAAAAAGAAACACAGAAAAGAAAAGAAAGATAATTAGTTGGTTCAGCGGTTTCTGGTGCTGAACTTGGTAGGGCGGATTACGGTCTGATCCCCCACAACTACAATTGAGTCAATAAGGGGTTATGCCACGTAAGTACCAGAACCCCCCCAAAAAAAAAAAGAGAGATCAGAGTCACTAACCGGTCGTCTTGCTATGAGTGTGTGGAGATAACGGGCTTAATGTGATTGCGCCTGAATGGGAAAGAGCAAAAAGGAGGAAGAATAAGTTAGGCTTTAGCATAATAACATTATTCGAATTGATTTGTATATTCAGGAGGGTTATGACTGCGCAATTGTGGGTTAGTGTTCCTACGATATCCTTAGTGTTGAAGATTAGTACCTATCGAGGCAAACTTAACCGAAGAAGTCTTGTAGCCTGGAATGAGTTTCCTTTGTTTTATTTGAATTTAATTTTGCTCGGAGTGCAAAAGTTCAAGTCCGGGGGAATTTGATCAGTGCATATTTATGCACATTCTCCTACATTTTTACTTAGGCATTTCTTTATGTTATTTTGCTTATTATTATATTTTATCATGTTTTCTTATTTTATTTTATTTTTGATTTAATTTAATTTTCGCAACTATTTTTCAGCTTTAGCAGTCTGCACGGAAACGATCATAACTGGAGTTCCGGGAATCCGATTGAGGCGTTCTAAATATCGCCGGAAAGCTAAGAGAGAGAGAGCTACAACTTTCGTGTTGGAGTCGAAGTCAGATTCGGAGCTAAAAATTCCAGATTTCCGTTTCAAGTTACAACATTAGAATTTTATTTTAGTTTTGATGTTTTGGGTCTGGGTTATATTTTTGACCCAGTTGGGTTTTGATCCATTATTTTCCTTTTTAAAGAGAAATCGTGTTACTGTTCACATTACCTACTATTCACGAGAAAAAAACCTTGAAGCTTTTACGAATCCTATGGAGAACTAATCCCTCTGAGTCGGTCTACCGTAATTCAGGTTCCAACACTTGAGATTATTATAATATTATTACTATTTGTTAATTCCGTTCAATAATTTTATGTTCTTGTATGCTTAATTCGATTGCATGATATTATTGATTTAATTTGGTTGATTGTATGGTCCTAGGCATAGACACGTTTACGTTTGCTTAATTCGTTTGTGTGTCTGAACAATCATGTTTGCTTAATTCATGAAGTCATGGAGCAATTACCATGAAGATCGATAACATGTCAGCTATCAACTTCGTGAAGAATCCAATAGCACATGGTCGACGCAAGCACATCGAAATGAGGTTCCATTATCTTTTAGAGCAGGTAGCAGAAGGGAAGACGGACTTGGAACACTGTAGAGCTGAGAATCAGATTGCAAATACCATGACAAAGGGGGATGCAGGTCGAAGTGTTCAAGAATGTAAGGTCTATGATGAATGTAGATAGCTTAGACACAATGAATTAAGTGGTGTGTTGAGATTGTAATTCCTTGTGTCGAAACAGTGTAGCTCGACAGAAACAAGGTCTAGTCAAATTAGTCTAATGTGTGTGTCGAGTTGTGTTAGTTTGTCAAAGTGTCGAAACAGGTTGCTTCACACAGGATTTCGACTTAGGCTTATTTTAGTAATTTTAGCTATTTTGGGCTTTTATAGTTCTGAACATGGGCTTGGGGTGCAAGTTAACCTAAATCTATAAATATGGAGTAACCCTTATTTTATAAACAACAATTCATAATATTGTATTCACCGTTATTTTTCTTTCTTTCTTTCTCAAACTTTTCTGTTCGTTGTTATTGCGTGATTGATAACAATTTTGAGATTAAGATTGAGTGAAATTCATAAATCAGGGTTGAATTCCAACAAAATTAAGGAATCAAAACTGTAATTAAGACATTATAATATTGTATAACTATATATTAACTTTTAATATTATATTAATAAGATGTAAACTATGGGCTTAATCTAAATAAAAAATAAATTAATGTAAAAACTGAATTTGACAACTTTGAATAAAAAATGCAGTTCATAGTGCTTACCCTTAAATGATAAGATTTGAAATTCTTTCAAAGCTAAAATTCATCTAAAGAGAAGAAAATATCTAATGGTCAAGTTTGAATCTAATGACAAAGCCAAAATGTTACAAAACAAGTTAAAAATTACTTAGAAAAGGGTATGAGATTTTCTAAGCACCAAGAAGGAAATTTCTTTGAAAAAGTACCAAGTACTTCCTTAAATTAACTTGTATTTTTATAATATTTTATGAATTTACACACGTTTTTTTTTCAAAGCCGTATAATATACTTTTTTGTTGTTAAATCTAATTTTAATTCTTCAGCATGGTAGGCATATTTAAATTTTAATAGCTACTATAATTAAAAAACACAATATTTTCACTAAATAGTTAGTAAAATATTTACATAAGTTAAAATATATAATAAATAAAATATATCAACGAATTTTTATTTCTTTAATATTATAAATCAACAATTATCTTAAAACGAGAAAAGATTATAAAGGAGATATCTTTTATGAGATTGAAAGAATAATAGTGGGAATAATAGTCATTTTCTTTCTTTGATTTCTAACTTTGTCTTGAAATTCATCCTATTTGACCATAAAACTATGAACTCAGCACCATGGAAACAAATAGAGTCAAAATCTACCATAAAAAGGTTGAAATATTTGGAGTACCAAGATAGAAAATGTACATTCATTTACTAAAAAATAATAAATTAATAAATACTGTACATTCTTGAAATTAACTTTAGTATTCTAAAAACCTATTTATTGAATAAAAATGATTTTTTTATTTAACCAATACTTTCAAAAGCACTCGCAAAACATATGTTAAATATATTAATTTATCTCAAAAACTAAATAAATTAACTTTAGTACTCTAGATACCGATTTATTAAAGAATGCAAAAAAAAAAAAAAAATTTAAACAAGTAAATACTTTAAAATATGTTAAATACTAGTATACTAGTTTAACTTTACCAATAAATAAATAAACTAACTTTAATATTCTAGAAACCGATATATTTAAAAATAAAAATATATATATTTTTAATAAAACTAAGTATTTTCAAAATCACCAAATTATTAAAGGCTAAATTTTTTTTAATTAAAAAAATATTTAACCAATATTTTTATAACACTCATAAAAACATATATGTTAAATATGATAAATTAATTTTAGTATTCGAGAAACCAATGAATTAAAGAATAAAAAATGATTATTTTTATAAATATTTTAAAATTATCAACTTATTAATAATACTATTTTTTTAAATAAAAAATTCTTTAACCACTATTTTAAAACACTCATAAGACATACATGTTCAATACAACAGATTAGTTTTAGTATTCTAGAAACTGATTATCAAAGAATATATAAAGTAAATATTTTCGAAATTATCGAATTATTAAATACTACTGATTTTTTAATTCTTTATCAATATTTTTAACACACTCATAGAATATAATTTAAATATAATAAATTAACTTTAGTATTCTAAAAGCCAATTAGTTAAAGAATAAAAAAATGATATTTTTTTCCAGGAAATATTTCAAAATTATAAAATTATTAAATGCTAATGTACTTTTAACTTAAAAAAATCTTTTAACCAATATTTTTAAAACACTCACAATACATACTTTAAATATAATAAATTAATTTTAGTATTATAGAAACCAATTAATTAAAGAACAAAAATATGTTTTTTCATTAAATATTTTCAAAATTATCAATTTATTAAATGCTAATGATTTTTTAATAAATAAAAACTCTTTTACCAATATTTTAAAAACACTCACAAAACATATGTTAAATATAATAATTTAACTTGCATTAAATGTCTAAATTTAAGACCCTTCATGTCTTCTAGAAAAGTGTTGGAACATGTCTCTATTGTTCTATTGGACAAGCTATATTTTCCTCTAGAAGATTTTGACAAAAAATGTGCCAAATCCTTCTCCTTTAATTATAATGACTAATGAAATATACTTACTATAGTCCCATCTAAGCTTTTGAATCATTTTCTTTGTCACTTTCACAAAAAGTATCAAACAAGTTAATTAATTAATACTATTTTTTATTTCAATACTATCTACCTTTAATTATAATACTTGTATTGGTTCTATGCACAGTTTCAAGTTCATTTTAAAATGGACATGAAAGATTCTCATGAATTTGATAAGGTTCCCTCTCACATGCTTATTGAAGCCACTGCTGATTCTGAAGATACTTGTAATCATTCAACAATGGATGAATTTGGTTATGAAATTGGAAGTGTTGAATATGATGATGATGATGCTGAATCTTGTTGCCATGATAATGCTGCTGAATTTAAGGTATGTGAGTCTTTGAATGAAGATGAGGATGAAGAAGTGAAAAAAAGTGATGTTTATGGTTCTTCCTATTGTGAAGATGACAAATACAAGTCATATGTTTCTGATGATTCTTCTGATCAAGAGTTTTTAGATGAGATGGAAAAAAACAGGCTTTTCTGGGAAGCTTGTTTGGCATCTTGATTGTATTGTTTTTTTCTTTCTTTCTTTATAAATTATCACTTTTATGGATTCCTGATAATCACTTAGAGGCATAGAATCACTTTGATGAAAGCTTTCAATAGTGTCTATGCTTATACTGATTTGTAAATTTCTTAAATGTTCAAACCATATTTCATGATTCCTTCAATCCATTTTCAGTTTGTTTCATATGATGTTTCTGTGTTATGTCCTATAATTGATCCAGCAAAAATTATGCATCAATTTTTTTTATAATAACTTGTTTGATGTCCAACACATGTCTGTGTCTGTGTCATGGTGTACATCAGATTATTATCAATATTGACGTGTCAGTGTCAGCGTTGTATCTGATGTTTGTTTGTCTGTACCTGAATTATCTATAGAAGTATCAAATATGGTATAACTTAATTATGCTATTAGCATATAGTTATAATAATCATGTCAGATAATTGGTTGCTTTGATTATATTTTAAGCTCATATGATAATGTGTTTTGTTTAAGGAGATATATGAAAGTTAGGTGAAAATTAATCTGGTGATTTTCTGTGACTGTTAGATGGGGAAGACATGTGGGCGGCAAGATTAATGGGTGGAAAGTATTTGGGCTTAGTATGGGCCCACATTGATCTAAAGTCCACCTCCCACCTTGATGAAATTCTGATGCTTTTAGTATTTTATTTGGAAAATAAGCAATGCTTTTAGTGTATAAAAATGGTTGCACTAAAACATGTTATGTTAGAATATTTGATAATCAATTATTGTTCAACTTACTTAGCATTATAGTATTAAGATTATCAAGAGTGATGAAATATTCAAATTTCACTTAATATTAAATACTGTGTGAGTCTACCATTGAAATTGAAAATATTTGTTCACACGTTTCTTTATTTTTTAGGAGTTGATTCCTTTGGAATAGAGACTTTTTTTCATGTGTGACTCTCTATTCAAGTTTACTATCAATAAATTTGGAAGTTGCACATGGTGTGTATTTGGATGGTGTTTGTTGGATTAATTTTATACTATTAGTAAATTTGGAAGTTGCACATGGTGTGTATTTGAATCATCTGATCTTGATTTAACATACACACGAGATTAAAAATATGAGCTTATAGAATTTACCAGCGGAGAGTTTGCGTTAAGTGACAAATATATCGGATATGTTAAAGTTAGTAGCGAACCCTACACACTGTGACGGGAATTCAACATAAATGAAATCATAAAATTTTGATCATGACCTGCATACATAACTAGCATCATTTTCAAGCTTAATCAATCTCTTTACTCTAGTCCCTAAGAATTAATCAACAACTTCAACTTCTAACCTATATGAAATTCTTAGCTACTATATCCAAATAGTCTAGTATTTGGACATACATAAAATCAGGTCAAATTCAGCACTAAGCTGAACATAACCAACTTAAAATCCAAAACAAGCCAAACACTTCCTAATCTGTGTACTACTAATCAAATATACACAAGCAATCTTGCTTGTAAAACACAATCTAAACAATTCACTTAAAAAAATGAAAACATTTCTCACAACTAGAAAGTAAATTCTTAACTAGATGAAACAGAATCACCGCATTTATTTACCATTTCCACATCATTGGTTTCTTTACTTTCTATCGATGGAATACTTGTTGTGTCATCGTTCGATCCCTCAGTTGTTGTCGAGTCGTCTCTATCACTGGAACTCAAACAAGAATCCTCAGTTTTTGTATCAGTAACTGATATAACAGATTCCACATTATAGTTACATGCAGCCTCTTGAATGTTGTGGCTGTAGTCAGCATGATCGTCGTAATCTAATTTGGCTCTTTTGCATTCACCACTAGTATCCATTTCATGTTGACTGTCATAGTCATCTACTTCTGATTGATGATCGGATGAATGAGATGACATCGATGAATATTCTTCTGTTGATGTCTCTTCGCGATCTCGAAGTGTCTTTAATATCAGTGTTTTAAGTAAGTTCATCACTTGGACCGCGTGCATAAGAGCAGTTAATGGATCAGACATCTGTTTCATGAGACAAAAATTAAAAATGCAATTCAAAATATATCAGTGATGTGGCTCATTGCGTGTAGTATCGACAATCTAAAAACAAGTATCATGCCACTTATATTCACACTCCAGAAGTCTAATCTTGGGTATGAGGGTGCGTGTTAAGAGTCTGAGAATAATATATGGTCTGAACACGTTCTTGTAAGATGGGCGGACTAATCGTGAAAACCTGATGGCAGAACGAGTCTCCGATACCATCTTAAGAATTGTGGCATATACCTGATTTGTAAGCTGAGAATTGCCCCTACTTATGAGTACATGTCCAGATCATATATTATCTGACGTGACACTCTTAACATACACGATTTGAGGTATTAGTCTTTGCAAATGCTTGTCGCATATGCCTGACTTATACTAAAAAAAGAGCGTGCGCGCGTAAACATACCTGAGTCATATTTGGAGCGAAAACCATTGCAATATTTCTAGCATCCATTTTATTATATTCCGATTCAACTACAACATCAGCCATGAGATCAATAGCCCAACTAAGCAAAGCTGATTCAACTGGTTTCAGCTCCTTCACAAGCTCAACAGATTCTTCTTCCGTGTTGCATTCAAGAACTTCCTCCGGCGAAAGTCCATCTAAAACTCCAGAAGGAAGTTCCCTAAACCATGCTTTTATCAAACCAGCCAAACAATGAACATCAATGTCATTCGGCACAATGCCGCTATTCAACTGTTCTCTAAGATGCTCCTCTTCACCGTTCTCCGGATTTATCCGAAATATTCCTTCCGCCTGAAAATTCATCAATTAACCGGAAAAAAAAAACAGTTACAGTTGGTTACATAATCTGAAAAATTGACAAAATATATCATAAATTTTGCACTTACCTTAAGTCCTCCCTGCGAGTATAATCTTTCCTGCATCAGAAGCAGAATAGTGGGGACACTGTTTCCTTTTGAATCATAAGAACATTGCATTGATTCTGCCGACACACCAAACACACTAACACTGCAAATATTCATGATAATCAACACATTAGTAAAAAAAAAAAAAGTGAAATTGCTTAATAGCTTCTTGAAAAAAGTTAATCATAAAAAAATGAAATTTTTAGCATTTTAATCAAACCCTAACTGAAATGTCATACAACTAAATTAGAAACCAACAAAACAAAATTAGAAAAACAGTACCTGGCACTTGGAACAGGAGCAGGAACATGAACCTCAAGTTCAAGAGGAAGACCTAAAAAACCATTAAACCTATCAAACGTGACATGGCTAACATGTTTAACGTTTGTAGGCCATCCAATCTCCATTGGATGATGAACTGCCGAGATAACATCATCAGGGCTCTCCACACTACAAGCCACCATTGATTTCTTCAACGCAGCCAACATTAACGCCGCCGGCGACACTTCTTCGCCGCTGCCGTCACGTCCTCCTCTTCTTCCCTTCACACCACATCCACCACTCACCATCACTGGTCCTCTCATTCTCAACTATCCTCTGCTTATTCTCCACACAAACACTATCTCTAGAGACAGATTTTGAATTCGAGGAAGCGTTTGTTTGTTTGTGTTGTGTGATTTGAGGTTGTTTGTTTTTTGTGTGATGGTTTTGAAGGCTCTTGTGTTTTATTTCTCTTGTGAACTTCAACGGCCACTTGTGTTTTCAAATTTTGGTTAACTTAACTTTATCAACACTTCATTATTGTACTATTTTACCCTTCATGGATATTATTATTATTATATGGTACAAATCATAATTAATTCTACCTGCTACAGCTATTACTCCATATTAAGCTTTTAGTTAAATTAAATAGTACTACATCAAGTTAATCATAACTTTCGTGTAGATCTTAATATGGCATAATATTTTAAATTCAACTTCTTTCATAAACCTAAATTAAATGTTACCTCTACTAGCTTCTATTTATATTAACTTAAGTTTAAGATTTTTTTTTTGCAAAATATTTTAAAATGGAGTAATAATTAATATTATCATTATTGTCTAGTTACACCGTTGTAATTTGAATTATAATTCATAATTTTAGAATTTATAAGTTATGCATAAATGTTAATATAAATAACTTATATAAATCTTCAATAATATAAGATCTGTGGTTTTTGTTGATTTTGTTTAACTTTTGTCATTCTTAATCAATTTTTTTCTCATTAAAAAGAAGAAAAGAATGTAGGCATGAAAATTTAGTTGAGATTTTTTGTTTAGGTACAAAATATAGTTGAGATTTAATGAATGTGACATGTGGATATGAATGTCTAAAAAAAACAGATATGATGAATGTGCTAAGTGACCAACAAAGGAAAGGAATTTGTCCTTGTTAGTTATTATTTTTGTTTGTTTATGAAAACATGAATCCTATAGCATTTTCTCTTGTTAGTTTTATGATTAAGCAGTTATGTAGTTGGTGGGTGCAATCAGAAATTACGAAATCATAGTTGAGTTAAAATAAATAAAAAAATCCTAGAAAGCTAATGAATTTATGAACGTTGTGTAACGAATAGTTGTATCATCTTTTTCTTTTATTGCTTCCAACTTTTGTACAAGATAGCTCCTTTGAAAACAATAATACCAAACTACCCTAGTTTGAAAAGTATTTACGTGAGTGCCCCACTTTTGCATGAGTTCGTCCAAGAGAAGGACGAACTAGTGAATAGGTTGAATGTGTTCGTCCATTGAATTGGCGAACTTGTAGGAGAAATTTTAGGAGTGTGAGTTCGCCCATTGAAAGGGCGAACTTGTGAGGGGTTTGTTTTTTTTTTTGTTTTTTAATTTTTTCAGATTTTTAAATAAATATATTTAATATTTTTAATTTCATTAATATTAAAAATATTTAATACTTCAAATATATATCATTAATGATGGAAAAAATTATTTAACTTGAAACATAAAAAATCTATTTAATTAAATTGGGAGTATTTTATTTTTGATTAAATTAATCTACTCTTTAACATGTGAAAACTATTTAATATAAAACTTATAAAATCTATTTAATTAAATTGATATAAAATATATTTAATAAATTTTTAAATATAACTATTTAATATAACACTATAAAATATGTTGAATTAATTTAATAATAAACGTATTTAATTAATTGAACAAATAATTGATAAGAATAAAATTTCAAGATTTAATAGTTACAAAAAAATTGATTACTTAATTATACATATCATCGAATATGACCCCCAGTTCCACACCTAGGGGCCCTTCTCTGTCGGTGTCCTCTCCCCAAACGCTCGTTTGCAGATGACTGAGACGAGTCAGAAGACAAATCTTCATTGTGATGTGTTGTCGGGGGGTTTGTCTGCCTTGTAGAGGGTCCTGATTCATCATCTAGAATATCGTCGATGTTAAAATCTGGCATCTGCATCAATTGCTCCTCTGTCAGTAAGAATTGTTGGAATGAATGTGTTGGTTGTGGTGGTTGTGGGTAGGTTTCGGCTTGGCTTTGTTGAACGGTTGGGATGTAGACGTCATTAGGCGTGAAGGCGGTTTGTGAGAAGGTAGTGTTGAAGGTGGGATTTGTAGGATATTGGAAATAAGGGTTGCTCTGGTCAAAGTTTGGGGCTGGACATGGGGTGAACAGTCTGGGTGGTCGGAGGTAGGGTTGGGGCTGATATTGTTGGGTGAACTGGGGGAAGTTATAGTTATGCTGAGCTGACGAGGATGGGTACCCCCAAAATTGAGAGGTGGTGGTTGGGGGGGCATCCGGATGCATTGATGCGGCAGTTGGTTGTGTCGATGATGATGGTTGCGTCCGAGGGTCGGACAGAAATTGATCCGGAGCAACATGGACATAAGGAATTGCGCGGAACCAAGTTAAGTACTGTTGACTTGGCTTGCGTTCACCTAATACAGAGTCCCCCTGCAAAATCAGTTGTCTTCTGTGTCTCCATTCTCGAACCTCGTCCTTATTTAACTGTTGCCAATGAACCTTTTGCGCTTTTCGCATGGTCATTGCGTGTTGATCCTTTAGACACTTAGGAAGGGGAGGGACTTGTTGGTCTACTCCAAACTGGAGTGTTACCCTATCTGTTTGATGCATCTCAACGATGTAAAAACAAATAAGGTACGTTGTGGCACTCCAGATTTGGCTATCTTCTAGACGCGGGACCGGGTACTGAATGTACGGCCTCCATATAAACTGTCATATACAAAAGAAAATTAAGATGCCATTTAATTTAATAACCGACCACGAATTTAAGTTGGTTTGAAACTTACGTCTTTTTCTTGCATGTGGTCCAAGGCGTTACGATATCCTTGAAGATGGAAACGAGGAGTTGCACGGTAATTCATTCCTCTTTGCGCCCATCTTGCAAAATACAAAACAAAACAATGTTAGACATATTTGAATAAGAAATATATATATTTTTTTGTACATAAATATGAGTACAATATTACATGAATACCTTTGTGCATATGGATACGAGGGTTCCACCGTGCTGACAGGAGCGAACAATGGGATGCGTGTGAATGCCCAAGAAGTTAGTAGGAGAGCACAACCACTCATGCTCCTAACTTCTTTTTCTGCTGCCTTGCACATTTCTCTGTACAATTTTGCAAGACATGCAGAACCCCAACTATATTTTCCACATTCAATGAGATCCCCCACAAAAGGGACCCAAGAAGAATGCAAAAGGTTTTGTGTTTTGTCGGGAAACAAAATTGTTGCGATAACAAGTAAAATAAATAATTTGGCTTCTAATAAAACATCTTCTTGAGTCGGGTGTTCTTTGTTTTTTAAATTTTCATACTCACTTTCAAGCCAAGTTATCCTAACAAAACCTTTCATTTTATCTTCTTCTTTTGGTTCCTTACCCAAGTAATCCATGTAAACAGAATTTGTTACCTCGGTGGGACCGTTGATAGCTTTGCCATCAACTCGTAGACCTAGTAACATACATGTATCTTCAAGGGTTATGGTGCATTCACCTGTCGGGAAATGAAATGTGTGGGTCTCGGGTCTCCATTTCTCCAATAGAGCAACAACTAGGCTTGAGTCGATTTTCAAACTGTTTATTTTTGAAATGTTTGCGAATCCTGCGATCTCAAGATAAGGCATTATTCTATCATTCGCTCGAATAGGAGAATGTGAATGCACCCTAAACCTAGGGGCATTAATCTGCAACAACATTAAACAAACATTAGTTAGTCACAATTGTTACACCGAAATAATAATTTGACAAAGAACAACATATAGAATTTGAAAAACTTACACTGTTATTGATATTTTGTTGTGTTCCACGGTGATCATCGCCCATCCATAACAATGACATTTTAGTCGGGTAAAAATTTATAGATAGTAGAGGAATAGAAATGAGAATTGTTATGAAGTAGAGAGAATTAGTAAAAATGTTGTGTAAATTTTGGAGGTAAATAATTTGAATATATAGTAGTATGTATGAGAATAAAATATTAGAGTAAAAAATTTTTAGGTCATAGTATGAAGGGACCTTTGCATGGCACCTAGTCTTATTTTGCATGCATGCAAGGCTAGCCTCATAGACAATGTCGTTTGCATGGGAAACAATTATTTCAGACCTTCACAAGTTCGCCCATAGGTGGGACGAACCAAGAATTTCTCTTCACATGTTCGCCCAAGGGTGGGACGAACCAAACATACTCTTCACATGTTCGCCCTTTGGGTGGACGAACCAAAGGCAAGGTTATTGGGAAGTTCGCCCTTTGAGTGGGCGAACTAGTGGTTCTATAATTTTCCAACTCGTTTCCTATGTATTATTGTCTTTGAATCATTTATAATATAAACCACTTTTATGTATCAATTACTACAACCAAACATTCAATCATACACCTCTACAAAATTTCAACCTCCCCAACATTCAATCTTACACTACCAAAAAAAAAAATTAAACTTCTCAAATTTCAAGAGCCAAGATGTCACAGAGAAATATAATTACAACATGTCACTTTAACGGTGTTGTTTCGACAAACACTCCTGTTGGATTCTCGTTCAGCAATACGGATACATACGCCTTCAAAATTCATGTCAATTCAGATTTTTTTCATTTTAAGGATAGAATGGAAAAAAAATTGGCACAAGGCGTCGAGGAAATCATTTATCGCCATCCGACCCTTAATGAAGACGACTGTACGATTTTTTACATTATGACGCCAATCAAAAACGACGACGATGTCAAGGCCATGTTTCGATGCCACACGATGTTTGGTCAGTTACCTACAATTGAGGTGTATGTCAAACTACAACACAATCCCGAAACATTGCAAACTCAGGAGACCCAGTCACACTGGTACGGGATGAGCCAAACATCCGACGACGAACCAACGCAAAACAATTTACCTTTCATACCAGATGAGGAGGTTGGGGAATCAAGTGATGACGATATTTATGAGGAGATCAGGATGCAAGATATTTTTGGTGACAGTGGTGACGAAGACAATGAGGACGAAGATATAGTTGTCGCGTCTACGCAACCGATCCGCGCACAAC